GGGCCCAAGGACTTGGGCCATCCTCCTCTGCATTCCCAGGCCACAGCAGAGAGCTGGACTGGAAGAGGAGCAACCAGGACAGAATCTGGCATCCCGACTGGGACTAGAACCGGTGTGCCGGCGCTGCAAGGCAGAGGATTAGCCTAGTGAGCTGCGGCACCGGCCAAAATATGAGCTTTTAAAGGAAACTAAACCTCAGCCGGCGCCGCGGCTCACTACGCTAATCCTCCACCTAGCAGCGCCAGCACACCGGGTTCTAGTCCGGGTCAAGGCGCCAGATTCTTTCCCTGTTGCTCCTCTTCCAGTCCAGCTCTCTGCTGTGGCCCGGGAAGGCAGTGGAGGATGGCCCAAGTGCTTGGGCCCTGCACCCCATGGGAGACCAGGAGAAGCACCTGGCTCCTGCCTTCGGATCAGTGTGGGGCGCCGGCTACAGTGCACCAGCTGTGGCGGCCATTGGAGGGTGAACCAACAGCAAAGGAAGACCTTTCTCTCTGTCTCTCTCTCTCACTGTCCACTCTGCCTGTCAAAAAAATAAATAAATAAAAATAAAAAAAAAAAGGAAACTAAACCTCTAGGTTACAGGGGTGTCCTAAATGCCACTCGGAGAGGCATATTCCTTTAGGAAAAGAGGATGAAATGCCATCTACCAGGAGGGGGCATGGAAGCTGGGAATGGGGAGAAAGGAGAAACTAACTGAGCCTGGTACTTCCATCTGCTTACTTTACATTTATCTAAGCAGCTATGTTGCATATTTTATAAATCTAAATCACAGAAGAACCCATGCAGATCTAGAGGCTAGAAAGCTTGTCTAAAATACATAGTTTGTAAATGACAGAGCCAAAGTAGAAAATGGTTTCTGCAGTAATGAGTGAAACTAAGAGAGAAGTCTGTACTTCCACTTCAAAGATAGAACACTGTTCTAGAGTAACTGGCCAACAGAGTTAAGAGCAAACCTCCCAAGTGGGCAGGGCTGGGAGCAGGGGACAAACATGAGGCCAGACACAAACGCCCTGTCCAATAACCTGGCTATGCTGCTCCTAGCTCACTGGGCAGCCTTCAAGTCATATTTACAATTCCTCACTGTTTTTCCCTACAGTACTGAGTGGGTTTACTACTTCCAGAGGATAGCAACATCAGGGCTTATGTGACAATGCTCTCAGAACAAATGAAAAAGAAGAAAATCATTGTCAGTTTTTTCACAGCCCAAAGCAAGTTAAGTTACTTACGCATCAGGCTGCAAATGTGCTTTTCTGCAACATGTTCCGTAAACAGCTTTATAAGGTCATCTTTCAGGTCTCTGTTAAGCTTGGTTTCGATGTAAAATTTATTCTGGAAAAAAAAAAAAAAAAAAAATTTTTTTCCATGTATCAGTTGGGAAAATATTTAGTCTAACAAACTGAAGCAGTAAATATTATTTTAGAAGACAATGTATAAAGGCAATATATAAGACACAAAACTCCAATATCAAACAACAGAAATCTTGCCACTCTGAGTTATATATTGTGCATGGAGTTGAAAGCATAAAAAGATAAAATGCTGTTAACTACAGACCTTCAAAAGAACACTGGAAGATATCCAACATTACTAGATAGGACTGTATATACATGATGGAACCAGACCATGGACACACCTTTGCAAAATATTGTTATCACAGGACTGCTGCCTATGGCACTGGCACACCAAATCAGAGTGCCAGGAGTGCTAGCTGCTCCATTTCACATCTAGCTTCCTGCTAATTCGCCTGGGAAGACAGCAGATGATGATTCAAATACTTGGGCCTCTGACAGTCACATGGGAGACCCAGATGGAGTTCTTGGCTCCTGGCTTTGGTCTGGCCCAGACCTGGCTATTGTCACCATTTAGGGAATGAACAGCAGATGGACAGTTTCTCTCTGACTCTCCCTGTCGTTCTGCCTTATCAATAAGTAATTATTTTAAAATAACTGTCTCATCATCTAAAGACAATATCTGGAAACACTAATGAAAGGCATCCCCCATTTATCAGCGACCTTGTCAGTGGTGTTGGCTCCCATGTATGTACACATTCACCAGGGGTACTCTGTAGGGACATCTCTGGTTCACAGACACACACACAAGGTAGCCCAATCAGACTGAGAGAAACCTAGGCTGAGAGAAACGCTTATCATCATAATGAAACATGTTGTGGACAGTAAAGAGAACCCTGTGGACAGAAAAAGAACATGGGACCTTGGTATCTCTGCTGAACCACGGATTCACACAGCCCTGGAAACCGCCTGTGCCTGCAGTCTTATTACAGCAGACGAACCTTTTCCTTACTCTCAAAGCACTCTGAGCCACGTTCCCCGTTTCCTGTGGCTGTGGGCCTTCTGCCTGGTGCGACTAGCAAATCATCTTCATTGTTAACTCAACATGTAAGAGTGGGAAACGCAGAAGGAATGTGAGCAAGCTGCTGATTTGCTCTTCATTCTGCACACTTTTTCTTTAAAAAAATTATGAAAGTAAGATTCACGTGGTTAAAAATAAAAGCAAAAGGATGCACAACAAAAAGAAGTCCCCCACCGTGGAGAGGCCCCATGTCCCCTGGGAGCACTACTGTATATTATTTCTAATATGTACCCTGCATACGTGCATACACTTCTCCACTGCCCGCTCCCATACACACTGGCTCCTGAACTACTGCTGACACAAGCTCTGTAACTTGCTTTTCCACCCAGTGTTGTATCTTAGAAGATCCTTCTCTAAAAGAACATGGAGGCATGCCATTATATTTAACTGTATGTTTTTCTACTCTATCTTCCATTAATTATTTTTTAAAAGATTTATTTATTTTATTTATTTGGAAGTCAGAGTTACACAGAGAGAGGAGAGGCAGAGAGAGAGAGAGAGTCTTCCATCTGCTGGTTCACTCCCCAGATGGCCACAACGGCTAGAACTGTGACGATCCGAAGCCAGAAGACAGGAGCTTCTTCCAGGTCTCCCACGAGGGTGCAGGGGCCCAAGGACTTGGGCCATCTTGTACTGCTTTCCCAGGCTATAGCAGAGAGCTGGCTTGGAAGTGGAGCAGCCAGGACTCGAACCGGCGCCCATATGGGATGCCGGTACTTCAGGTCAAGGCGTTAACCCACTGCGCCACAGTGCTGGCCCTTTCCATTAATTACTTAATAGTCCTCCAAACACACTGGTAATACAGATTTTTCCAATGTTCTATTCAAAAACCAGTGCATAAATCTTTTATACATATGCATATTATTTGCATATACTTGTATTTATTTATATGATGGATTCCTAAAGACACTCCATTCAGCTCGTGCATTTTAAACTTGAAACAATGCCAGATAGTCTCCCAAAGGTTTTATCACCAAAAGTGTGAGGTGTTTGTTTCCTTTAGAGAGTCCATAGAACTGATTATCAATCTTTTCCAATTTCACTAACTGCACTTTTTTATTTATGATGTTGAATATCTGTTCCCATTTATATCTCAGTATATTTTCTGTAATCTATTCACAGCCTTTATTCATTTTTCAACATAAAAATGGGATGCCTTTTTTCTAATTAATTCATGAACACATTATTTATCAAAGCAAATCTCTGCCTTATGTTTTGCAAATTTACTGCAAATTTCCCCACCTACTTTTGGTGTATAGTTACTTTGCTGAATTTTATGTTGTCACAGTCTAATATTTTCCTCATGGCTTCTAGATTTAGGTCTCATTTAGAAAGGCCTTTTCTCACTCCAGGAGTGTGCATAATTTCTTCTAGTTCTTATAAAGACTTACTCCATTCAGAATTTATGAAGAATAAGCAGTGATGAGGCACCATTATCCTCTATTCCAAAATGACTTCAGCTATCTTAATACCAGCTATGGAATAATCTGTTTACTGGTATGAAATGTCACATTTTTTTTTTCCATTAAACTCTCACATTTACCTTGGTCTAGGTTCCCTGTTCTGCCTATCCTTGCACTGAAGACAAATACTTTAATTACCTCAGCCTTCACATTATTAGAATATCACCTCTTCTTATTAGTCTTTCATAGCAGCTTTCCTATTTAATTTCCTGCAATAAGAATTTTATAAAAGGGATCATATAAATAAGACCAAGTGTCTGCTAATAACAATAGATAGAATTAAAAAGGAGAGAATGATCCAACATGGGAAGCAGGCCACACAGCAGACTCAGAGAATGACAAATGCCCTAAACAGCACTCTGGCCTCAGAATCAGCCCTTAATTAAGGCATTCAGATCTGGCTAAAAAGCCCATGAAAGCAATTCAGGCATGGAAAGACAAAAAAATGACCTACATGAAGGATCTCTGTGAGTGAGATCCCTGTGGAAAGAAGGGGCCATCAAAGGAGGCGGCACCTTTCTCTGAAGGGAGGAGAGAACTTCCACTTTAATTATGGCCCTGTCTAAATACTGATGGAGTTTGTGGACTCAAGAGGATTCCATAGCCTTGGCAGCTCATGACAAGAGCCTCAAGTGATCACTGATATCATAAATAAGAGTGTCAATTGTTAAATCAACAACAGGGGGCCGGCGCTGTGGCACAGCAGGTAAAGCTGCCACCTGTAGTGCCAGCATCCCATATGGGTGTGGGTTCATGTCCCGGCTGCTCTACTTCCAATCCAGCTCTCTACTGTGGCCTGAGAAAGCAGTGGAAGATGACCCAAGTCCTTGATCCCCTGCACCCATGTGGGAGACCTGGAGGAAGCTCCTGGCTCCTGGCTTCGGATTGGCACAGCTCCAGTCATTGCAGCCAGTTGGGGAGTGAACCAGCGGATGGAAGACCTTTCTCTCTGCCTCTCCTTCTCTCTGTGTAACTCTGACTTTCAAATAAATAAATAAATCTTAAAAAAAAAAATCAATAACAGGAGTCACTGTACACTTTCTCCCCATGTAGGACCTCTGTCCTTAATGAGTTGTACTATGAGAATTAACAATAAAACTTGTCTTCAAACAGTTCTTTATACTTTGTGTGTCTGTGTGGATGCAAACTGTTGAAATCTTTACTTAGTATAGAGTTGATCTTCCGTATATAAAAATAATTAAAAATGAATCTTAATGAAGAATGGATTGGGAGAGGGAGCAGGAGGTGGGACGGGAGTCGGGGTGGGAGGACAGGTATGGGGGTAAGAACTGCTATATTCCTAAAGCTGTACCTATGAAATTTATATTTATTAAATACAAGTTTTCTATTAAAGAATTTTACAGCAATAGATTAAATTAACTGCCTGCCTTATTTCATTTCTAAGAATTTCTTTCCTATTTTGGAAGTAAGTATCTAGTGAAAGTTTATTTTAAATAACTAAAAATATCAACTATAAAGCTACTTTCACAATTGAGATTTTTTTCTTGATCAAAATAAATCAAAAATAAAGATTTTTTTTTAAAAAAATCAACTTTTAGAGCAACAGTTGATTTGGCAGTATAACTTTAAGTCTTTGAAGTAAGTAGGCATCGTTTTGAGACTTTGCAGTTTGTATATAAGAATAAAAGACAACACTCTGGTTTCTCTTCAGATCGTATAAATCTTTCGCCTTTTACTAAAGAATAAAAGACAACTGTTCAACTTCCAGTGGAAATGTTTCTGCATTTATAATGCTTTCCCTCTCCTGCTGTCAGCAATGTTAGTATTTAAAACCTTCGTGCACAGCAGTTCAAGGAGCCCTTCCTACACTTCAGTAAGCAACCAGGACACATCAAACAGAAACAGTGCGAGAGCATCAGCACTTGAACGCTAACGTGATTCCAGCTCTTCAGTTAACAGGAGACATTCAACTTTTTCTCAGGGACAGTAATATTAGTTCCAATATTCTAAACCAAGCACATGCACCTGATCTCTGTGTCTTCCAAAAAGAATCTAATAAAATAGTTTAGAGTGTTAGACAAGTTATTTTCTGGTTTAATGATCTGATTTCTTAAAATATTCATAGAGACAGACTTCTAATAAAAATACTCATTTTGACAATACTCAAAAAACTTCTCTTTGGTTTCTGTGACTACAAAGGACATTCTGCTGATTATGCTCTTCATAGTTTGGGAATTCAAACTATTTCCTTTAAGTAATACACTTTCCCAACAATGCAGTGACAAATTACAAAGAATTTCTATCTTCTGGACAATAAAAATAATTTACATAACAAATTTTCACGAATAACTAGAAGGCAAAGTCACATTCTTGATCTATACAGCAAGTTGGAGCCAAGCTTCCTTTCACAACCTAAAATCCCTTAGGGATTCTGCTAGGTGGAAGAAGTCTGAAGTTCATTTATTCTTAGATAATAAGAACCCCAGGACATTAGCATAAAGTTTAAGAAAGCAACACTGGCAATACAGGAATGTGTGAATCACTTTCCTGTCATATTTATGTACTTTTGTACAAATTAACTATTCGGTTTTTTACTTAGAATCCAAGTCAAGACAATGTAGACTTGTTATTACTAACCCACCTACCCAAACTGCCTACTGTAATGCCATTTAACGGCAGACGGAGGAGACAGCACTACAATGCAAGCTCCACTTTCCGTGGAATGACTTACTTGCACTTATCACATGGCTATTTTTAGATATTCTATTTTCTGATGACAAGAGATCTTACATATCTTTGTTTTCCCAGGACCAAGCAAAGTGCCAGCCACATGACAAATACGTTGGCTGATTGTTACTTGTCTATTCAGCAATTTTTACTTAGGGAATTTTAAAGAAGAGGGAAGTAGATAATTCTATACCAATAACCATGACACATTAATGAAATACTTTCCACCTCAAAGAATGGAAATCACACAAAATACAGTAAAAGAAAAACAGAACATGCTTAACTCTGCATGCGTGTGTGCCCAGACCCACACTCCCCCAGGGACTAGGAAGGAGGAAACCCCTCTGCCTTACCATATATATGAAAAGAGGCACAATGCTCTGCAATGCTCCCATGTACTGTCCAAGCGCTATATTAAATCTTTCAATATACAGATCTGGAGGGCTGGCCTGTGAGAAAGAACATACGTGTGATCACTCCCGTAAACCAAGCAGACGCCCTTCCACCCCAACCCACAACGCAAGCAGAATGAAAAGGAATCCAAAGTCCACAGGAGAGTGACAAGAAAGAAAAGGACACTTATACCCAGAGGCTTTAAGACTTCTTAGTTCCAAAAATCTGCTACATAAAACTGAGGTTTAGTTTAGCTACTGTTGAAAACTATGTAACCTTACAGGCTTGCTCTCTTCATGAGTAAAAAGGTGCATTCAAAATGTTTTTATTTATTTATTTTTTTTTGACAGGCAGAGTTAGAGAGAGACAGAGACAGAGACGAGAAAGGTCTTCCTTTTCCATTGGTTCACCCCTCAAGTGGCCGCTACGGCCGGCACGCTGCAGCCAGCGCACTGTGCCAATCCGAAGCCAGGAGCCAGGTCTTCCTCCTGGTCCCCATGCGGGTGCAGGGCCCAAGCACCTGGGCCATCTTCCACTGACTTCCCAGGCCACAGCAGAGAGCTGGCCTGGAAGAGGAGCCACCAGAACTAGAACCCAGCGCCCATATAGAATACCGGTGCCACAGACGGAGGATTAACTAAGTGAGCTGCGGCGCTGGCCAGGTGCATTCAAAATGTAAGACAAATGATGTGATTAAAAAATTTTCACTGGCCGGCGCTGTGGCTCAATAGGTTAATCCTCTGCCTTGCGGCGCCAGCACACTGGGTTCTAGTCCCGGTTGGGGTGCCGGATTCTGTCCCGGTTGTCCCTCTTCCAGGCCAGCTCTCTGCTGTGGCCCAGGAGTGCAGTGGAGGATGGCCCAAGTGCTTGGGCCCTGCACCCCATGGGAGACCAGGAAAAACACCTGGCTCCTGGCTTCAGATCAGCACGATGCGCCGGCTGCAGTGCGCCGGCTGTAGCAGCCATCGGAGGGTGAACCAACGGCAAAAAGGAAGACCTTTCTCTCTCTCTGTCTCTCTCACTGTCCACTCTGCCTGTCAAAAAAAAAAAAAAAAAATTATCACTGGAGAACAGCATAGTGGCATAGCAGGTAAAACCGCCTCCTGCAACACTGGCATCCCATATGTGTGTCAGTTCATGCCCCAGCTGCTCCGTTTCTGATCCAAATCCTTACTGGTGGCTTGGGAAAAGCAGCGGAAGATAGTCCAAGTGCTTGAGTCCCTGCAACCACTTGGGAGACTCCGATGGAGTTGCAGGCTCCTCGCTTCAGCATGGTCAGCCCTGGCTGTGGCAGCCATTTGGGGAGAGAACCAGTAGATGGAAGCTCTCTCTCTCACTCTCTGTAACTCCTGACATTCAAATAAACAAATAATCTTTTTTTAAAAAGTTATCACTGAATGATATCAACCCTTTCTATGTGAACCAAACTACATTTGGGCCTGGAATGGGGGCAAAGGGAATCCAAGAAAGTGGCACAGGCTTAACATGTTATTAGCCTGGCTAATGAATCTGTATAATTACCTTAGGCACAGTAATCTTCTGAGTTCTATGCTAACTTGATTGTAAACGCTCCTGTAGCTAACCAGTCATAAACATTACTAGCCAGAAAGCAACAGCCCAAATGGTCCATAGATATCACAGCTTGGAGAGCAGTATAATACATGTCTCACATTTAATTTCTTGTTATAAAACCCCATGTCATAAAGCCATCAAAAGAAAACACTTCTAGCTTTATTGTGTCTTCTACTGAAAGTGCATGTCCTAAAATTCATGAAGACCCATCCCTCCCCCATTCTGCTGTATCGAGAAGAAAGTAGTTAAGGCTACATGGAGTCACAGGGTGGGGCCCTGATCCTACAGGATTAAGAAGAAACATCAGGAGCTGGTGTTTAGCCTAGCAGTTACGGTGCCAGCATCCCACACTGGACTGCCTACTTCCAATTCTTAGCTCTGGCTCCCAACTCCAGCTTCCCACCAGTGCAGGTCCTGAGAGGCAGGCACTGATAATGGCTTAAGTATTTGGGTTCCTGCCAACCACAAGGGAGATCTAGACAGTATGCCCGGCTCCTGGCTTTGGCCCTGGTCTAACCTAGCCATTGTACGCATTAGAGGAGTGACCAGAAGAGAGCTCACACTCTATCTTGCTCTCTTTCCAATAATTTTTTATATGGACCCAGAACTATCTCATCTGAAGAGTCTTTAAGTATGTGTCATAGTGGCAGATCCAAATATTCCAAAATTTGAATTTCCACTACAAAGCTCACATTTTATCAGCAACAAATACTATCAGTTGTTTTCCTTGAAGAGACGGGCTTATTTCACTCATTTTTGAGCCAATGTCAAATCTCTAAATCAGTCTGTCAGTCATTCAATTAAAAATAACGTGTTTCATTCGGGGTGGGGAACTTTGGATGAAAACGCAACCAGACAAAATGTGCTTCCCAAATAGCCACTGTGCCTTGGTATGCAGTTTCCCCCCTCTCCACACAAAATATTTTTAAATCAATACTCAGTCACAATTTAATATAAGTAATATTTTCACTGCTTCGGCTGGGACATTCTTAAGTGAAGCAAGGCTTTTGTTTTTTGTGTTCACCGCAAGTGTGTGGAAGTAACGCTTCATGCTAAGGCATCAGCAGTTTTACCCCCCGCTGCTTCCGCAGCACCAGAGAAAATGTCAACATCATGAAAACAGCATCTTAACAACACCAGAAAATCAGTTTGGATTTTCAGGAACCCTGGAACTGAAAAGGTTTCAGGAACCCTCAGAAGTCCATAAACTGCTTAGAGAACATATTTAAAGAACACATATTCTTGTAAATTCATTGTCTGTTTTTAAACAAATACAGATTATTCTGTAACCTGCTTTTATCGTTCAACTATGTGTCAACATCTCTCCCAGGCCAAGTTTCGTCCTACAGTGTAAACATCATAAGGGTCTGGACTGTCACTGTCCACCAGTCTCTGTTCACCAATACTTAGGCTCTGCTCTGCTGTTTGCTGCCCAGGATTGCAGGGTCATTTCTAAACCAGATGAGCCCTGGGGCTCAGCTTAAACATAAGATATACTGTGCTCCTCGGTCAAAAGATAGATTCCAGCTTCAGGAACGACCTGACACTTCCACGGGCCAGTGGACCTCAGAGAACACTGCTCTCCAGATCTCATGAGGGGTCTGTCAGTGACTGCAGAACCTCCCGCCACATTCCAAGGCCCTGCCTCAGCCACTTCCCAGAGGTACAAATGAGAACTGCAGGGGCTCTGTGAACAGCGGGCTCAGCTGGCCCTCACATCCACCTGAGGCTTCTCCAAAACACTGAGAACAGAGAGCCTGCAGGAGTCGAGAGAAAGCTGAACAGTCGGCATCCACACACACAACAAACAGAAGGTGTTGACTGCACAAGAAACAACTATACTGACATTAGAAAAATATGATGCATCACCCGAGTGTTAGGGTAAAGGTGAACTTTTCTTCCAAAGTCAACAGCTTCTTAACTAGTACGAAATTCAGTGATTATAAAGTCATTAAAATGTAGCTGTGACGTTCCACTTAGCTTAGAATGCAGAAAGCGTCAAGAGAATCACATTTACACCTTTATGGTTAGCCTAAACAGTTTTTCTGAGCACACAGGCATCTGTTTACCTTACATTTATAATGGCCAAGAGACATGAATTCCAAAGAGTAAACCGCCCCTCTAAGGAAAGAAAGGCTACACTACGTCACCTTTGGTATTGGTGGCCATAACAGCTCCTCAGAATCAGCCCTTAAGGCATTCGGATCTGGCTAAAGAGCCCATGAGAGCATTTCAGGCATGGAAAGCCAAGACACTGTGGCAAAAAATGACCCAAATGAAAGATCTCTGCAAGTGAGATCCCAGTGGAAAGAACAGGCCATCAAAGGAGGAGGTACCTTTCTCTGAAGGGACGAGAGAACTTCCACTTTGATTATGGCCCTGTCTAAATAAGGTCAGAGCTGGTGAACTCAAGAGGCTTCCAGAGCCTTGGCAGCTCATGACAAGAGCCTCAGGTGATTACTGACGTCATAAATAAGAGTGTCAATTGTTAATCAACAGGAGTCACTGTGCACTTGCTCCCCATGTAGGACCTTGATCCTTAATGTGTTGTACTATGAGAATTAACGGTAATACTAATCTTCAAACAGTACTTTATACCTTGTGTGTCTGTGTGGGTGCAAACTGTTGAAATCTTTAGAGTTGATCTTCTATATATAATTAAAAATGAATCTTAATGAAGAATGGGATGGGGGAGGGAATAGGAGGTGGGACGGGAATGGCGGGGAGGGCAAGTATGGGGGGAAGAATCGCTATACTCCAAAGTTGTAGTTATGAAATTTGTATTTATTAAATAAAAGCTTTTTATGAAAAAAAAAAAAAAAGGCAGGTTAAGAGGGGCCAGCACAGCAAGTTAAGCCACAGCTTCTGATGCCAGTACCCCATATCAAAGTGCTTCTGGCCCAGCTTCCTGCTAATGCACCTGGGAAGGCATCAGAAATAGCCCAAACACTTGGGTCCCTGACACTCACTGGGAGACCAGGATGGAGCTCCTGGTCCCTGGCTTTGGCCTGGTGCCGTCCCATCTCTTGTGGCCACTTGGGGAATGAATCAGCAGATGAAAGCTCTCTCTCTCTCTCTCTTCCTCCCTCTATCACTCTTTCACAAATAAACATTAAAAAAAAAAAAAAAGTAGGCAAGAAAACAAGAGAAGCTGTAATGAGTCATTAAAGGCCAAGTGTGACCAACAGTACAGGATTCTAGGAAGCTTCCACCCAGGGGAAGGCCCAGCTACTCCTTTCCCATAATCTTCTACTGGGTTGGAAAGAGAAGGCTGAAGAAGAACCTGTCTCCACAGCACAGACGTGCTGGGTGTGTCAAGGGATGCAGATGGGGCAGGAGTACCTGAACAAGTCCACGCATGCTACACTTGGGTCCACCATGAGTAAAAACATGTTGATTAGCTGACAGTTCAAAACACAAAGACCGTCTGCCTGGAACCTACTCAAACTCAAAGCAAAAGCCACTGCGCAGGGAAGGCCTAAGA